CATCAAAATAGTAACAAGCAAGACTACACAATTCTGACTTATCTTGATCAAAAGAAATTTCCATATGTCAGGGAGAATGTCCTCGACGTTTGAACTTGACATCCACATGTGAAGATTCTGGTTGAGAAAATAAATCTCCTCTAGAAGTTTTGAGCTCAGCCAACAAGAAATTCTTAGACACATGAGCAAGATGCCTCCTCTTCCAGTTCAGGAGAAGGTTCTAAATGTATGTGACCAACACACTATTGTTTAGTACCCAACACATTTGTAACTCCATTCCTTTAGCCAGTAGAAATCTTCATAACTTACTGACATGATGTTCTAACATTTGGCAAGACATCATTCCAAGAGACACAACAAGAGATTCTTTGTCAAAAAACAAGAGATTGGACTTTTAGTTTTGGAAGCAAAAATAAATTGATTCTTACTCTCTTTAGTTCTCTATTCAACAAAATCACTTAAAATTTCCTTTATGAGTTGAATTGAGATGAACCTCAAGTATATTTGGAAACTTTTGAAGATTGGTTGAAGCTATCCTCCAAGTATCACAATGCCATAGGATACACCTTTAGAGAGAAATAAATCCCAAAGATCTTCCTTATTGTATTACAAGGGCAGCCCTCACTTGAGACACACAAAACCATCAGGAGTTTTCAGATACATACGCAACAGATCACACATCAACAACTTCTCAGAACCCTTAATGATAGAACAATACAACCCTTGCATATCATCACCATCATAGTAGTGACAACAGAACGCCATATGTTTGAACATAAATCGAACATAACACAATAGTTCACCATCAAAGAACCATCCTTAAACATCATTGATCATGTTGTGGAAGATAATTCATACTCCCTCTTTAGAGGATCATCTAATTAACAATATGAATCTTTCTAAGATCTCAAAACATGCATGATGTCATAACATTTGATGAGACATCATACAGAAATCAGACTGTGAAAGAATCAAAACACTCTCATCCTTTTAGCTTCCTCCTTGTTGATTGTCATCTTGCTAGAATCTTCATTTCTTCTCAGACTTCAAGTAAGATGTCAAAAACATCTCATAGGATACCATATAGAAGAGATATACTTAATAGCAGACATCAGGTAGACATCCAGGCTTCGTTTATCAAACCCCAATCATCCAGCTTTTCTAGAGAAAGCCAAAACACCAGCAGGCGAATCAAACCTGATCACCCCAGGTTAACACATCAGAGACACATGTAGAAGAAAAATAATGCCTCACTAGTAACACCATAGCCACATCACTGGCTTCCAATAACACTTTAATCCTTCCATGTTCAAGCTTACAGAAAGTATCTTCCCCGATCTTATCAAGAATATAATAAGATGCATGCTCGGATACCAATTGAATTTATAGCATAATGATTACAAATGTTCTCACACATGTCTAAGACATTGATCTCTGCATAACAACACTTGAACAAAGATAGAGCATACTGATAAAAACATATCAGGATAAAGTCGTATCAGATGTTCCAACATCTTATATAACATGTCAATCAATCAAGAACAAAATTGAACAAAACATAAAGATAATAACACACAGAAATGATGACCTAGTTCGCTGGACACACACCTACTTTGGGGGCTACCAAGCCAGGAACGAAGTCCACTATCAGCGGTATTAGTTAAAAGCTAAACTCTCCTATTTAAAACTTCTTGCCTAATCCCTACCCAATGCAACTTCTACCTAGGAACATCCTAAATATGAGAAATCAACATCTCACTTTGTAAATCACATCAGTGATATCTATATCAGTTACAACTTGTTCAGTCAAGAATCTTAACTAATAAACATACTTGGATTTTCTTCAAAGAATCATCCAAGAACAATACATGATTCATTACCTAAAGGCTTCTGAATCTACATAACACTATGTCTACCATAATGTATCAAATCAATACAAAGGGTGACTTACAACTCAAGAAAGTACACGACTTTCAAAACCCTTATTTTTCTTTCTAATTTTTTTACACCCCATTTAGTTAATTTTCCCTAGTTCTAAGTATTCCATTTATAGACTTCAGTTATCAATGGGCTCTGAGTCTTCTTTTGAACCTTTTCCATGATCCATTGCTAAAAATGCTCTTCAAATATTTTAAACTAATTTAGAAACTTGCTGAAGCAGTCCAAGATGCCGAGTCTTCATGGTAGGACATCTTTGTTTCGCATGTTGTTCTTCACATATTTTAACAACTTGATCAACATCTTGTTTTACCAAAATTAGCCAAATCTTTAGAGCTCAGATATTTGGATCTTTCACCTTCCCTTTGCATAATCGACTCCCAAACCTACTCTTGATTATGTCAACCATTTTTTCTTTTCTTTCATTGGTTTTATCGATATTTTCCCTTTCCTCTGTTTAAAGTTCGATGGTGAATTTGTTGTATTTCAAGCATTCCTTATGCTTAGGTATTTTTCGTGTTGCACCACTAGTGGTAAGGTGTTTGCTCTAAGTGGTTTTAATGTCTCGAGATTAGATAATTTTATTCGAGGTATGTGTTCATTAATTTTGTGTCTTTGATTGATACCATTGATATGAGTGTGATGTGTTTGTTCATTTCTCATAATTGTGTTAACAAGTTGGGTTTGATAGTATAGTCATTGATACCCCGACAAATGGTTTTGTGACTACTTCATTGGTTTGCCTTAATTGTCGCTTACCATTTAAGGTAAAAATTATAGATTTGAGTTGGTTTTTTACCTCTAAGTCAACTTGATGTTAATATGGGAATGAACTGGTTAGAGTTAATCCATGTTAACATTAATTTCTTTGATAAGAATTTGATGTTTCTTGAACATGAAGAAAGTATTGATTCAAGTTTCATGTTCGTAAGTCAACTGGAGATGTTATGGAGGGAATATGACTAGGTTCTCTTATTTTTTCTTCCTTGAGATTGGAGAGAGAGGTTGCAAGTGTTGAACTTCCTGTTTTATGTGTGTTCCCTGATGCTTTTCTTGAGGATATTAGTGATTTACGGCCAGAGTGTGAAGCTGAGTTTGCCATATATTTAGTAACTAGTACTAGAAATATGTCGATGGCATCGTATAAAATGTGCGCATCAATTTTGTGTGAGCCGAAGAAAAAGTTAGTAGATCTATTGGAGAAGAAGTTTGTCAAACCTTCTGTATAGCTGTGGGGAGCGCTAGTGTTGTTGGTTAAAAAGAAAGATGGGATAATGAGGTTGTGTATGGACTATTGGTAGTTGAATAAGGTTAATATTAACAACACGTATAATTTACCTATAATTGATGGCCTTATCGATTATTTAGTTGGAGCTTGTGCGTTCATCAAGATTATTTTGAGATCAAGTTATCATCATATTCGCGAGAAGTCAAAGGATATACTGAAGACTGCATTTAGAACTTGTTACAGTGATTATAAGTATTCTGCCATGTCAATTGGTGTTTCTTATGCACTCGGATTATTAACGGAGTACATCAATAGGAATTTTCATCTATACTTGGATAAGCTCTCTCTGGTGTTCACTGATGAAACTTTGGCGTATTCTAAGACAAATGAAGAGCATGTTGAACATATGAGAGTTATGTTGAGTACTTTGAAAGATGAGAAGTTATATTCCAAGTCATCCAAGTATGAATTTAGGTTGAAGGAAGTGAGTTTATTTAGTGGTAGGATAGTCTTTTATCCGTCAAATGTAGACAAGGTGGGAGACTCCTAAGTAAGTTACAGAAATACTTGCATAGCCTAATCTATCTGGACATGCATTCTCTTCTCTAAAAATGTGAGATATCTAGAATCTAAAGGAGGACATAATGTGTAAATTATTCTTCCATTTAACTAACAGATGCAAAGGACAATATTAAAATTAAAAAAATCTACAAATGGCCAACATTGAGTCAGTTTTAAGCCAAAGATTTTCCAATTCTTCAAGTTAGAATATTCCATAGTAAACATGACTTCATGCCACTCAGCTTTTAAGGAGGTGAAAATTCCAATCTTAGCTAAGAAAGCTTCGAAAAATGTTCCTAAATTCTCCCTAAATATGCCACCACAAGTTGATATTCCAAGATTTCCTCTTGAACCTGCATCTGTGTTGCAATTAATCTAATTATAACTAGGAAAACACAAATTAGCTAATATACTTCACTATATATCAACCATAAAAACAAAGTGACTATTAGTCTAAAGTATGTTCTATTACTAGAAAGGAGACTTAAGTTGCAAGCGGGTTATATGGTCTTCAATGATTTTGAACCATAACAATAAGAAATGTTTGGTAATACAAGTTTATCATTGCGAGGGACACACTTCCAAGGTTTCATTATATTTTTTATTTTCCAAAACGATAATAAAAACATTATTTTTCACTCATTTAGCAAATCGTAAAATAAAATAAAATAGATATTCAATTACAAGTATTCATGGGAAGGGATTATTTTATTATGTAAATAAATTGTGCACTTACATGGTTATCATATCATATAAATAAAATTTTAATACGCATCACATTTATTATAAATTATGCAAATAGCAATGGGTGAGAGGCGAGTTTCACACTAAAAAGAATCTCATTCGCAAGATGAAGAAATTACACCAAAAATAACAGTATTGATGGCGGTAATGTTAAATTTAGATTTTTTTTAACAATTAAGTAATAAGTTAAGGATTTTATAGAAATTCTATTTTTTTTAACGAATTCCTTTTAAAACATCCGTATTATTATTTGAATTGTTGTAAATGATTCATTTTGCATAGTGAATGAACATTGAATCAATTGCTATGTTTTTATTTCCATGAATTTTTAATTATAATTCTATGTATTTTATAAATTGCGATATATGTACATATTTTTATATCATTTTGACCGTTGAATTTTCTATAAAGGATAAAAAATTAGTATTTGGCTTTATAAGTTGCATCTCCTAAATTAAATTCTACCACTATATATATTGTTACTCTCTTCCTCAAGGAGAATCATACCACACCATCCTTTAAGAGATCCATGGATAAACCTCGCAACTCTATGAACAAACCTAAAACTCCTATTAGGATTGAGGAAGACACTGATACTACTGAGAAACCAATTCTTATCAACATCTCGGCTGGAAACGATGTTGTGGAATCCATCATAAATGTTGCTTTGGTTCATCAAGCTAATATCACAGTACTAAAAGGTAGTGGTCTTATCTGTGATCTTACTTTTCATGACCCAGTGTCCCATTCCTATGTATTCACATTACACGGACCATTCCAAATGACATCTATCTTAGGAGAATATGTTAACACAAAGGATAGTTGTGTTCCTTCTGAGCTCATCGATGAACCTATTAATTCCTCCTTTTCTATTTTCCTAACCCGTGGTGATGGAAAAGTGTTTGGTGGGATTGTTGAAGGAAAGGTTAAGGCTGCAAGTGATATTCTAATCTCCGCCACTCTTTCAAAGAAGTCCAAGTTTTTTATGGGAGGCCACCATCATTTGAAGTATTCAAGAATTTGAAAAAGATGATTTGAAATATCTTGGATTTGAATGCAAAAATGCTCAAATTATATCTGGTTATGAGATTGTCATGCAGTGGAATCATTCCACTTATATTAATAGTTACTAGATATCAAAAGGAGTCTCGATGACTTTCAAATTGTTTTTTTTAAATCCTTTACATTAATGTTTAAATAAAATCATCTTAATTTCTTATTTTATAAATTTTGTCCCTTTATCATATGATTCAATTTGCGTCCTTTATTTTTATTAGATTCACTTTTTTTATTAAACGTATACTTATCATCGATACACAAAATTATTTTAATGTGTTTTTATGGTCGGTATATTTCTTAGATCCACGAATTAAATAAATAAATAAATGTGAGTTTGATAAAAAATATTATTGTATTTTCATTGTCATATGTTCCATGACTTCTCCTCTTTATTTTTGTTTGTGTAGTTTTTTTTTTTAGTTAAAATATGTTTGACATTGATACAAAATACTTTTAATGAGTCGATTACCGTTAGTAATTTTTCTTAGATGCACGAATTATATAATTTTAGAGATTTAAAGCTATGAAATATCGAATGGTGGTTAAAGACATTATAAGTATATTACATTTATTTATTGGTTGAAAGTATCGTATTTGTGTGTAATTATCAATGCCAATTTGTGTTTTGTTAAAATGTAATTCCTAAAAATTTAGCTAGTTTAACCTTAAAATTTAGAAAGAAATTATAATACATATATATATATATATATATATATATATATATATATATATATATATATATATATATATATATATATATATATATATATATATATATATATATATATATATATATATATATATATATATATATATATATATATATATATATATATATATATATATATATATATATAAGATGTATGAAGTTTTTATGAGGATTTAAAAAGAATTGTTATTTTTGGACTCCACAAGTATTTAATTGCTTATCCTTTTACTTGGTGTTCAAGAAAGATGAAGTTAAAATGTCACACCAGAAGGTGCAACATCAGACAGTTGCAAAAGTTCTAGAACTTGTTCTATGAATCTACATACATACATAGACACACACACACACACACATACACACACACACAAACATAAACACACACACACACAAAGAGAATATCATTTGTGAGTGAGGTTGTCGTTACGTGAAAAAACACAGAGTCACCATCAAACTTTATTAATCCCAAAGGAAAGGGGGAATATCAATAAAACCTTAAAATGAAGGATAAGGTGGTCTTGTGACTAAGACACGGGTTCGTACGTCATTTACGCTAAGGAGAGGTATTAGCACCCGCATCCATAGTACTCAACGAGATCCACTTTGTTTGTTTTTTTTTTTTTGTTTCTAAGGGTGTGTTATCTAAAGGTTTACTTGATATGAGCGGTAAAGCGGAAAATAACTTTTTATTAGGGTGCTCACCTTGGTTTTGAAACCTCATGCCTATGTATCCCCATAGTGAAATACGGAAATCATAGATTTGTATTTCGTCATAGTACATTCTCCTTTAGTTTTGAAATTGTTTGAGATACGTATTATACTAAAGTCTATGAAATGAGGGCGAATACTTTATACAAATGACTCTGGCATCTCACGTACAAAATACTCTAATAAGAGGTAAGAAAGGCTCCCTCTCATCATTCCCCATTTTCTTAAGGCTCATGGTGTATTATACGTATCATATTTATTAAGTATTTTTGTATCTGATCAAGAAAAACATTTTTTTCTTTTATAAGTGTTGTACCCCAAAATTTGCCCTCCCATATTTATCAAAACATTGCAAGAAAAATCTCCAAGTTGCTCAAGGTTGCTCAAAGATTGGCCAGACAAGCTCTCTCCTAAGGCAGACTACCCCAAATTAGGGTTTCATGTTGCATCAATATCCTTGTGTCCAAGTGGTCCCAAATGCTCATAAATGTCCTAATATGTTCTCAAGATCATCCATGTCAATTTTCAAGCCTTGCAGAGGAAGTTTGCTCAGTCAATTGCTCAAAGGTCCAAAAATCGACTATGCTAGGGCAAAAGTCAACTGTGACCCAAATACAGTCAAACTTCAAGATTTTTTGTCAACATTCTCATTTTGAAGTATATTTCATCATTTGATCAAGGGTTGATCATGATTCATCAAGGATTGTTCACAATTCATCAAGATTCAAAAGTTGCTAAATTAGGGTTTTGCAGGAAAAGTCAACCCAACTTTGACCAAGCATTACTTTCTCATACTTTATGAGATTTACACATCCAAAGCTCATTTTTAAGAGGATGCAATTTCATACAATCCATCTTCAGCTCCCAAGATCAAAATATGCACTCACAAGAAGTTATGAATTTGGACATTATAGGTAATTTTGAAAAGTCAACAAAAACACCTTTTTTTGTCAAAGCTTCAAACTTGAGCATGGAATATCAAGTTGAGATGATACCAACAGGGTTGGTTAGAGGACATCTCAAGCTTTCAAAAAATTCAAAGAACACCTCCAAAGGTTCAAAATTGACAAAGTTATGCATTGTTGAAGTTAGACTTTTTTTGCAAAATTGCCAAAAGTCAACTATGCCCAAAACTTCAAATTTTGCCAAATGGGCCCATTCCTTTTCACTTGTTTTGAGTTGGAATTGCAGCCCACGTGCTCCAGCCTTTGCCATGTGTCCATATCATATTTTTATTAATTATTTTGATTTTATTTAAATTAATTTGATTTAAATCAAAATAAATCAAATAAAAATCCAAAAGCATTGATAACAAAGATTTTGTGGTGATTTCAGGTTTCATTATACAGCTTGCCATCATCAAACTCGTATCAAAGCATAAGGGTACAAAAAGATGGGATTTGGACCAAATTTGGAAGGTTGTTAAAGGAAGACCAAATCAAATATCAAAGCATTGATAGAGGAAGATTTGGACAGCAAAAACAATCCTAATACATTGTGCAATACATAAGGGTCGTGAGCAGACCAAAATAAGGGTCGGAGATCAGTTGTAGAGCACAAACAAAATTTTCAAAAACACCAAAAAAGTGTGAGATTGAAATAGGGCTTAGAGGCAATTTCAAGGCTTGACAAGTGTCTCAATCGCTTCCTGGCAATCTCAGGAACCTAAAGCAATCAAGACCACGCGTGTTCAAGCCTTCCAGTGCACTGTAAGTCAGTCACGAACTCACCCTTTTCTTGATTTCATATTTTTAAATTTAGGCATTGTTAACATGTATTGATAGCATATTCTTAATCTACACATCATTTGCAAGCTTTTGGTATTACTCGATTTCATTTATCTGACCTATATTGTGATTCACCATAGTTAGGGTTTCAAGATTTGGTTTAGGGCTTTTTGTTTCAGGAAAAATTAGCCTTAGTAATGAATATGGTTGTGATTAGAAGAAGGAGACGAACTCAACCCTGGTCTGAGAATCCATTTCCATGGCCTGTACAAGATTTGGAGGGTGGACAGGCTTGTAGTGACGGACCTTTGTCCGTTGGTATAGATGTTTCTGGTTTTAGCCATGGAGTGAGGAAGAAGAAGCAGTCGTGTCGTCCTCCCATAGGACCATTCAAACAACGCGCGCTTTTTTTATTTTTCTGTGCATTGGCCTTTGTTTTATATATTATATTTTGTTTGTATTATACTAACAAACAGAAGCGTGTGATCCAGTGGCAAGCGTGGCATAGAATTCTCTTCAGGACCTGGGTTCAAATCCCAGGTCCCCATGTTTTTCTCTATAATATTTTCTTTCAGATAATCATATGCACGCAGGAACTTGATGTCTACCATATGCTCCCACTCATCAGTGTGCCAGATGGCCAGATGGCTAGATCTGGTGCCCAAGCCTTGAAGGCACACCATAGGCCAGTCAGCGCATACACATGAGATCCCAAAAAGTCAATTGGACCTTCATAAATGGGCCAATATTCTTGCTTTCTGCACCCTCTAAACAGACCCATTCTCACTCCTTTTTATTATTTTGTTTACTTTATTTAATCATTTTATTTTGTTTTAATTTAATCATTAACCAATAGATTAATTTTCTTTTTTATCAAAAATCATAAAAATATCATTTTATCCAATTAAATTTTAGAAATTTATTTTTTTTTCATTAATAAATATTAAATAATTTAATTAGGATATTAATTAGGCAACTTTAATTTATTTAGTAAATATATAAAATTAATTAGAAATCAATAAGTTTTAACATTAATTTATTTATTTTATTTTCTTTCCAAAAATATCAAAAACTCCAAAAATATGTCAATAATTATTTTCATTAATTAATTAATTTAATAATTAATTTATCATTTTATTTAGGATTTAATTTCTTTTCTTAAAAATAAAAACAACAAAAGGCATTTTCTTTTAAAGGGTCAAAACCCTAATCTCGCATTCAATTTAATTTACTCGCGCAATTTATTTTCCTTTATTCAATTATTGTACTTGCTCCCAGTTTGTAATAATTAATTAGGATTTTTATTTTACCGCATTTATTTTAATTTCAAAGGGTTGCTTTTGGCGATGTAAATACCCGACGCCTTGAAATAATTTAGTTTAAATTCCGCATTTTAAATCTGCAAATTATACAACTGCTAGATGTTTGGTAATAGGGTTTGCATGACAAGAATGAATGCCTAATCTAAAACAGTTAGATCACCTTTAACATGTGCAAAGATAAAAATAACTGAAATCAACACACTCGTACATGCGCACTCCTAGGGTACACCTCACTTGGTTGCCTTCGTAAATGGTCATTGAGTATAGGTTGTTTTAGAGGTCGCCCTCTTGTCTAAAAGATCATAGTTGCCTCAAAATGGTTGCCTCGGATATCGTTGCCTCGGATAAATGATCTAAGACACTAGGGTTACCGCTAAAGCGTCCTAACATTGCTTTAGTAACTGTATGTCCCTCTTTCGAATTGACCCTCAAACTCCAACGACGGTGCTACCCACTCACTAATAGTGGGATAGAATTGTCTAAATGACATTAGCATAGAACGATTCTTTTTTCGAGTAGGTAGATTAGCTCTTAGATACTTGCTCATCCAAAAAACAAAACTTTTTCACACTTACATACTTTTACAAACAAGTTTTCAAAAATACTTCATT